GGATCGCTTCGATTGAATTCGTGAGATTATTAAATAACACGGGTACATCGCGTGAAACAGTAATTACACCGGTAATTACACCATATTATTGTTAATTAAATCTTGAAGAACAAACTACTCGTTCGACACATTCGGAATAAATTAGGTTCCCATAATTTAATGTTGCGTGCAATCGTTCGGTTAATACTTTCTTGTCGATTCGGAAGTGCTCGACGGCGAATGGTAGAAATCTCGAATACACCTCTTAACTTTTCAACTTTATCGAATCGGAAATCTATCGGGAAACCCACGGTGGTGTGGGTGGCGGCGCGGCGGGGAGGAGCGGCGGGTGGGCAGGGCAATAAATTTGCAAACAGCAATTACAATTCGGTCGAATGGTAGTCGCAATTAGAAAACTTATTCCACCGATAATGTTCATAAATCCAAAGTTTTCCAGGCGTATCAATAGCGATTAAGGAAAATCCAATAATGAACCTTTATTTTATTGATAAACTGTTCTCTCGTACGAATAGTTCGCGAACTACGGGCTACACTTCATCGAACCGGCTAATATACCGGGTGATCCCCGATAAATTCTTAATCCACGAAAGTTCATAATCATAGTAAATTAGGAAAGCAGGAAATAATTGACTCACGTTTTTCCGACCGAGAATTCTCCATCTGTTCTCACTTGTCGATGTCTCCCGATGTCTGTCGATGTTTCCTCTCCTCCTGAATTTTCTTGATTCGTTTTATTGATACAATCAGCATTTTGAATAATTCATCGTGGTTGTATTTTTAAACAGTTTTTATATTGCAAGAGTATTTTCTATTATTAAGACATTATGACACATTCATATTAATTAATTTAGTCTTGTGTTCTCAGTAGAATATATAAGTTTCGATTATCTCAATTTTTAATCATGGTTATGAAGGAAGATTACAAAAGTCAAATGTTGTCACTTTGACTGCTTTCAGGATTTGGAAGAGCAAAAAGATCTTTTAACACTCAACTGTGTCGAATATTGACAGAATACAATTGAGTGACAAATCAAATTTGCTCGAGTTTCGCGAGAGAATTGGAAGAATAATTAATATCGGGAATTCTAACTTCATTTTATTAAATAAATCGCTTTGGTTTCATCGATCTTTGCCCAGTCTCCGAGTAAGCGATCAATAGGTAAATTCCAGGCAACGAATGGTTGACAAATTAACAAGTTAATGAATGTATTGAGAAGCCCTCAGCCACGAAAGACAGTTCTTTAAAAACGACGAAGAAATCGGTAATGGGCAGTGCATTGATTATTAAACCCGTCGCAGCTGTCGAGATCGATCGATGTCCGAGTGCAGACACGCGCGTAAGTTACTACCGCGAGTACAACGGGATAAGTAGCGATCGATTAACGTGATAAGGTATCGATCATTAGGACTCGATAGCGCGGGTTTCGGCGCGGGCTGGTTGGCGCTCCGTTTCGCGCCGCTCGAGGTTGCGCGTAGAGAGCTTGCCGAAAATGCCGCGAGCAGTTCGTTCTCCGATGACTCTTTACATACGGCCAGTTCATATTTTATGCCGGCGGAGCACGTGAACCCATGAACTGCCGGAAGGCTCGGCCCGCCTGACAAACTGCGAAACGATTTTCGCGTTACGTCGTAAATTTCTGCTCGATCGCCGTGCTCCCCGCGTTCGTGTACGCGTGATCGATGGCCCGTGGATGTGCGCGCAGGAGAGGCACAATGCTCCGCTCGGTTGTTTTCAGCCCGCCAGGGCTTTCATAAGCTCCTCCACTGCGGTGGATCGCGGGACCCGGCTTAAAAAACAAGCCCGAACGGTTGAATCGCCACGCAACCGATCCGTTTCCATTTCTCTGTCTACTATTTCTTCCGTCTCGCTCGCTTTCGCTCTACACCTACCGCTATTTCACTCTGTGTATCGCACCCGATATACAGATCCGGCTCTGGATAGATTGTGCCCACCGTTTGCGTGAGATTGGCAAATTTTTAAGGCAACCCTGCAGTTGAAGGGCTCCCTGGAGGCAGACGCGGTCGAACTGATTAATCACCTCGCAATTGCGCGCCGAAGACCGGCCATATGGTCCGCAATGTTTGCGCAAACCGCTGTGAAAGCTTTCCCAATTTCTCACTGGACCTTGGAACACGCGAGTGTCCGAACTGTTGGACGATTGTTTTAGCAAGCTAATACAAACATCTCTCCAATTCTTTGGCTGACCATTGGATCCAGATGATCTGGGAAAGATACTAAAGTTCACCCGGGATTGACGAATATTCGAGATAGATGTTTGTACAAATTGTTAAACCACTGTCAATCGTCTTCTAATTTAAGGAAGTTCTTCCAAGCTTGTTTCCCGTTCATCCTTTCAGCGAGATTGATTCTAATGTTTGCACAAACTGATTCGATCACCGACAATTTTTTAAAGAAGCCCCGAAGACGAATGATCACCGAAAGCAGCTGTAACAGGATCGATTAATCGTCTTGTATGTCTTCTTCCAAAATTAAAGATGTTATGTCACATGTTTGTGCAAACGAACTTTCGCAAACTGATTACGATTTTCTTGCGAGGATAGAGCTTGCTCCTTGGACAAATCTTGAGCACTATCAGTGCCTGTAAAGTCCAAAATCGATACTAAACTTCCTCCAAGCATGTTTCAGTCTCTTAGGAATTTTTAACAAATTATTGAGCATTTGAACTTGCTCGATTGTACGCTACACGAATAGAACCATCGCATGAGAGTACAGTTCATTTTATCGGGGACGTATGTGCTAATTTGGAAACGCGAAGAGACTTTCTTTGCCATCCACAATTTCCACGAAGCAACTCCGGAATAAGTATCGAAAGTTCGCATACTGTCATTTCGCAAAAAGAGAACACGCTGGTACGCGTTCATCGGCAACTTTGTAACTACTGTTTGAAACACTAGTTATCGAATGATGCTTTCTGTGGCATCCTGCGTATGCTCGATTAAAATTTCATCGGTCTTGCAAGGCGCACTGATTGGAGCATAGCTCTTTAAGATCCATGGGCCTACTTGCCGTGCTACTTGTATGCTAATTGATGCTGCGACAGAATTCGCGAACTTTTGCGAGCGATTCAAACGAAAGAAGAATTTCAATTAAAAATAGGAAAATCGTAGGAAACGAACTCGACCAGTCCGAGTCGAATTAGCCGCGTTTCCAAGGTCCCCTCGACATGAAATCGTCAAAAGTTGTTCTACCGAGAGAAGCTAAAATAAAGATGAGGTCCCCGCCGCTGCTGGAAGATATTTTTGTACGTGAATGAAACAGAAGTTCCGCGGACTCGAAGCTGCAATATTCATTCGCGAAACGTTCGCTCCATTGCGTGCCGATATATTACCCCGAGTATTAAAGGGAGCAAGAAATCGTATATGCCTCTTCATCGGGAACGGTAGATAGTTACAAACTCGGTTGGCTGACCGTTGACTCCAGATCGATATTCGAAGCACGCCTTTACACAGCTCGACATTCATCCAGGTGAATGCCATACGCTGCCAGCGCAAGAAACCTATAATTTCCCCTAAACACCCGTCAGCGGGGAAACATCAAACGTTGCTCCGTACATGGTGACCCATCGAAGATACCAGCCGATGTCTGTTTTTCTGGAATGTCCAGCAAATTCTTCCTCCGCCGATCAAACTATCTCTCCCTCCCTCCCACCCTCTCTCCCTTTCCGGTCTCTCCTTTTCTCGCTCCCTTCTGGTTGCTTCGATGCGAAAAATGCGAACGATCCACACGTGATTCGATCTCGTTTCATTCTCGGTATTTCGAAAGAAAATTCACACTTTCGCAACCGACGATTCACCGGTAATCGTTCGTCCATGCAAGTCGATCGTCTAACAATTTACGCGACGCAGTTACATAAGTTCATTTTCAGCCAACAAATTGTTTAACAAATTCTGAGTACACACTTGTACGATTCGCATTGTATAATCGACAGATTCTACCAAACCGTTTACGCATAAATGAAAGATTCCTATATCGATTGTTAGAAACAGCCGTTTATTGGAAAAGTATTTATTTCCTTAAAAAATGTTAACTCTGAAATTTTTGTAACGTTTTACCTATCTATTTACCTATAATTTTTAGGACATTCAATCGGAATAATTTTTGTTTTTTTAAACGACTTTAGATGACCCAGATTAGCGTTTACGTATTTCGAAATTAATTCGAAACTATTTCTATCGGTCAGTATCGGTGCACCGATTCAGTCCGAGACACAGTGTATTATTCGAAGCTGATATCATCGATGAAATGATTATTTACTCTGTTTGTGATGCAATATTTGGGAGCTTCCATGGATGAGTGCATCGCTGATTGGCGCATGATAAGTACATCACCTCAATTTCACCTGCTAAAGATCGCACCCAAAATCTGTATTATAAGAATTATTTCAAACTGTGTTTGTTTTTTTATTATTTATATTTTTTTTATTTATATTCCGCGTCAGATTTATGTTTGTAAAAGAATTCAGAAAAATCAACGCACAGTGTTGTGTGACTACTTTCTTGCCACAGAAATTCATAGTATAGTGGCAATCGTCATTTCACTCTCATTGAAAGTGAACTTCAACAACAGTGAAACAAACGTAACGAAAATATTAATTTTTATGGCTAGAAGAAGGCACATCATCGACCGACTCCCACAACTAACAATATTAATTTCTATATTCTTTCTTTGAACGCAGTTAGATCCCTTAATCAAGGCAAGTATAAGCTACTTCACAAACAATAACGAAGACTTATGGTGTATAGTGGAATGTTATAATTAGACTGCGGATTTTTATGGAAAACAAACAAAATTGTCTGCATCAATTCCAAAGAATGACATAACCATTTAATAGATTAAAATTAATACATTGATCTTTCAAATGACTTTTAATCTTTACACTATTTTAAATTTTAACTACCCATTTTTCCCATAAATGCATCAAATCCGCAATCATATGCATCAAGTCATAATGCTCGTTAATAAATGAATAACAGAGACATAATTCGAAATGCAATTTAAGTTTGATACCCCTGTGGTAACACAAATATTTTAATATAATAGGTATAACAAAATGTTCCGTGTGTTACAAGCGGTCTGTAATGTTGAAAATTTGAAAGTCGAACGAGCCCTACCGTTTTCGGTGTACGAAGTGCTTAAACGTTAAGAGTGCGTTTATTCGCAATCATTGGTGCATCTTGTTTGTGATAAAAAAGAAGCTAGATGGTTTTTCCATCGAAGTCTTCGTCTACGCGATGTGGCCAAAGTAAAAAGCAAAATAACTTCTCTCGGACAGCCGTGGGCCAACCAGGAATCCCGAAAGCGGCAATAAAATGTAAGATAATGAGGAGCAAGGGTGTTCGTTCGTAAACTGTTTTGCTGGGCCCCGTTCCAACTGGCCATTATCAGCTCCAGCAAAGTAATGCCGAATTTTTCCGCGGAGAGTCGACGGCACGCCGTTCGTCCCTCGGATCCGTCTAGAAGTCCGCGAATAAATATTGCGGTAGCGTTCGACGCAGCAATACGGCCGAGCAGGTGGTGGAAATCGATGGCATCGAGCCGCAGGCCGCGGGCCGCCAGCCAATTATCCGTGGCGACTTATGCGTCTTCGCGAAGGACGTGGATGCGCACGCGTGACTGCACGCACGCACGCTTCCGTCGACGCTTCTTGGCTTCCTGGAACCGGTTCTCCGCGCGAAGATACCTCGGCCAACCTGATCGAATCAGAAGCAGAGCAGGAGAAGAGAACCAGAAGAAAAGGAAGAAATAGAGCGGCGAGGCGCGGCGCGGCGCTGCACGGATCCGGCACTCGTTGTCCACGGGGCCATCATAAAACTCTGGATCACGGAACTCGTTTTCCACGTTCGGTCTCGCGGCTGCATGAAAAAAGAAGCGGATCCGGTTGGTGACTCGTAAAATTTCGGATTACGTCGTTTCGGTTTAATGGGGACGCGGCTGCCCTCGCCAAAGATATTTGCATGAAAAAGCGGCGACGAAACCGCGACAAGCGATAGATCCGAACGAGTAGGCGAGATATGCATGCGAAAGGTGCTTCCCGTCAGGAACGGGCCGAGTAACAGTCCCCGCAGATCGTAGGATTATTGTATTGCCGGGCCACTGTCGCCACCACACAACAATTCGATTGTTTTTTTGTATATAGAATATATGGCAATTGTTCACTAAAACTGTCCAATATGGACAATTTTGCCAAAAGTGTTTCCGCGACGATAACGCATACGCATATGCACAGGGGTAGTCTAAACTTTAAATAATCACGTCGTCTATTTGCAAATAATACTCGCCGTACGCGATTTAACCAATTCAACCTACTAAGACAAAATTTCGATGGTTAAAGTCATTACAAAGTTGTAATATACTAGCTCATTAAATTTCGTCTTCGTATCGGCTACAACAGTATACAAAGGTCAACGACCAAAGATAAATGACCAAAGATTCGAAACGTTTCTTTGTTGTACCAATTTCAATATTTTATTAAGTAGAACATAAAATATTTTTTTAATTGCAACACGAGGGATCGTGTACGTAAATTACGACGTCTCGAAAATGGCGATACTCGAAGAGTGACAAGGAACGTAAAGAATGTCATAGATTGTGGAGCCTAGATCAAAACACCTACCATCGCTTGCATCAAACTGCAAGACTTATCCTAGTTCTTTCATGGTTCGTCCATCGCCGTCCACCACCACGACACAGTTTAATCACAGGTAGCGGTGGCCTTCGGACCGTTAACGGGTCGCGAACGATACCCTAAGCGCCAGAACTGTTTTCAACGTGGTCCGGAAGCGGCCACAGCGAGGCTCCGCGCGTTACCATAAACTTCTCTAATTTCAACGCGTATTATTTGTAGCCGAGTTACTGCGGGGATTATTGCCGCCTCGACGCTCGGCGGCACTTCGCGAAATGGGTATGGCCGCGGCGCGGCGGCCGTTCCGTCCTCAATGACGCACATTGTACGTGCCTGGCCGTCGTTTCTCATGCCGCTATGAAATAATACTGCCACTCGATTACGATATATCGGTATCACCTGATTATCTAATGTCGTATTTGCTCGCGGCCGCACTCTCCTCCGCACCGCTCCACTCCAGTCCGCCGCGCCGCGCGCCGCGCGACGAGCACGAGGACGCGGGCGAGGACAAGGAGGAGAGTGCAGGGTGCAGGGCGCAGGGTGCAGGCCCATGAACCGACCACCCACGCACTCACACACGGGCGCGCGCGCTCGCGCATGCACGCACGGATAGAGGCAGACTTAGCGAAGCAGGCAGCCACGGCGGTATGCGGCACGGCACGGCATCGTCGAGCGTGATATCGATTTTAGCCTCCTGCCGTTCGAGGCGGCTACGACTTGACGGGGTTATGAGGTAAACGAGTTCCTCCTCGGCGACCTTTTCCCCCACCCGCGCTGAACGCTTTATCTGAGATTATATCACAGGTAAAAAGATTGCATCATGGCCAGGATAATAGACATTTCCCTTCATCGGGAAATTGGATGGCAGCCTTTTAGAGTCCTCGCCAGGGGGAGAGGCTGAGAGTGGGGTGACGGTTCGGGCATGACTCCGGAACATCGGAATCGTCTTTGGATTAATCGACTTAGTCTCGGTTCTCTGGCCTCGGTTGCTCTGCTTGCTCTGCTTGCACTGCTTGCTAACTCGCTGGCTACGGCCGACTCGAATGAAATGGCCGCACGTGCTGATAGCTCGATTTCCATGTGCCCGAGGAATTGATAGAGGGCCTCTTTGTTACCACGCAGCTCGAATAATTGTGAATGTTACGCGAATGAGAGCTCTAGCACCGAATTGTCCATTCCTGGTTTATGCCGCGACGTGACGCGACGTCTCTGCGAACCGATGGTCGCCACAGCGGGTCTAGCTATTCCGGGAACTTGGTCCTTTCCGCTTCGGATGTTAAATTGCTTTGCTTCTAAACAAAATTTGCAAAGTCTAGAAATACGATAGAACGTTCACTATGAGAATCTGTGATATCTGAATTTTCTATCGTCAAGAAAAACTAGTTGGAAATTCGGTAAGCGTTTAACATAACACGGTTTGCAACTAAATGTATTATTATCCGAACGTTCGTGTTCTCAGAATTAGTTCGCATAATCGAGGTTTTACTTTACATTAAAGTATCCCTTTTTTGAGGACACATTCTGCCTATAGATTTTTTCAAGAAATTGTATTTGCTCAGGTTAATTTCATGCGAGGCTAAGGTTCAACGTTTCTATAGACGTTGAAATGAATTTCGTACGAGGCCTAATTTTATATGAGGCTTTTGATCATTCATAGTCGCGTGAACTATTTCAAATATTAGCTCTGAGCCAATATCGCAGTGATATAATTAGATTTCGGATATTTATGCCACGGTAAAAAAGAAATAGAAATTAAATAAATGTAAATTCTTTCGTTCAATTATTTTGATAAGTTGCAGAAAGCGTAACAATGTTATTAAATTCTTCTTAATTTTATATCGCAGCTACTTAATGTTAATTTACAATTACCGCATCAAATTGTATACAAGACTATGGATGATCGATGTTTAAGTTATTTTAGGCGAAAGACGACGAATGTAGAACTGTCCAGGAAACAAGAAACCTAGAATTCTAGTTTGGACGGAAAATTCTGTATCCACGAGCCGAAGAAGATATTTGAAACCATTTCTTTGTACCTTGTCTAGCATTTTACACCAACGCAGCGGCAATGTTTAAGTTTGTGGGACGTCTTCCGAGACTGTTGCCAATTGAAGGCCATAAAAGCAGCGGACGAGGGTATATACGAGCATAAGTTCTCCTCGAAGGTAACGCCCGCCGCTCGCCGCTCGCCGCGGCGTTACACGAAGATTCAGCGTAAATTCTGTTCAAGTCAAGAAGTTTGCGTGCATTCATAAAGTTTCAACATGAATGCCGCTGTAAAAGTGCCTTAATGTGTGACCTTACGTGCTTGCTAGTATGTTGCGCATTTGTCTACACGTGCGTAGCTATCATTATGCAATGTATTCTTAGGCGGTGGCCGTTGGAGCAACGCGACACGCACGGATGAAATATGGAGAAATGCATTTTCATTGAACGCGAGCGGCGCGAGCGCGTTTCCGACTCGACTCGTTGACAGTCAAAGAAAACAATGGCTGAACAGTTTGTGAACTCTCAGCACGCTACTTAATTCGGCGTGAATAACCGTCTGCTGGGTCTTTACGTCGTTAACTGTTGAAAGGATTTGGTGTAATTTGAATATCGGCGTCCATTTAGAATTCTATTCGGAATTGTGTTTTGAATTCTGTTTGGAATTCTGTTGTATTTAAAATTCCGCTAAGAATTATGCGATTGGGATTTTTAGAATTACGAAGAAATTCGATTCGGGCATGGTCCGGGTCGACGACTATTTTTCTTTGTTAAGTGGATGGCAATTGGAACATTGTTTCGCAGTAATAGTATTGTCAGGGGCGTAGACGGTAATTCACGTGGTCCCATACTTTTAGTCGGTAATGTAAATTGAAAGAGCCATTAAATTAGCCCGCGACACATACGTGCGCATGCATATTGAAATCGTTGGAGTTGGATCGTATATCAAGGAAAGGCGAAAGTTCTCTTTTATCGGAGAAAAATTTTTCGCCGGGCGCAATTCATTTGGTGGCCCAAAACTGTCGTAGTTCCATAACATTGAAAAATCGCGCATACGTTGGAATATATTGAAATATTTTTAAACGTAGAAGTCACGGTCTGGAAACGATCAAATACGCTCTCTCTCTCTCTCTCTCTTTCTGTTCCTTTTTCTCTCTCGCCCCGATAACATGGCTGTCGATAATCGATATGTTTTATTAATGCAATCAATCGGGTTTTGTTCGCAAATAAATATAGCAAAACACAGAACAGTTTTTTCCATTTATAAATGAGAAGTTCGCCGGGCTCGAACATTTCCAGTTTTATTTCGTTCAGCTGCATCAATTACTAATTGCTCACCCGAAATCAACAAATCTTTCGCTGATTTATAGAATTCAATTTTCAGAAACAGAGAAAAAATGTTCGAAAAGAACATTCACGGAATTTATTTCGCAAAATATACATACGTGCACGCAATTAATGCGAGGCTAATGATCTCTCTTTGTGTCTTTCTTCTACATTAATTCTATTCCTAATGATATACGCTGCCTCCGACTTCCTGCTCTCATTAAAACTCCGCGCGCGTTCTTTCATTATCACCAGCTTTCCTCAACTAATATCTCGTCGACGCTGATAACACCGGCAACCCATTTCGTGCACGTAAAATATATTTCATTCAATTTTCTAATATGCTGCGCATTCTGCTGCACGTTCTCGGTGCAATCTGCTCCATCGTCATTCACACATATTAATTTAATCAATTTTTTACTGCGATATGGCGGAACCCCTACTTCAAACGCAATTTCCATTAATTCACTTTAATTTTGGCATGTATAGAATATAACGCGATCCTCAATTATTTATACTAGATACTTGAAGGTGACATCATTTTCAATTTATTTCTACATTACCAGAAAATTATTTATTTCTTGTACTACGATTTTTGTTTATGTTGTCTGATCTATGTTATACCGTACCAATTAACCAGTTAGTTAATTATACTGTATCTGATTGATTTTCTTCATATTTTTTTAAATATTGTAAAACTAAATTTTCGTAAAATATATAATTTAATAAATAATATGAAGGTATACCAATGTCCATCTTAACCAGTTAGCTGTTTTTTTCACGAGTATACTCGTCATCAAGAAATGACAATATTTTGGTTATGACGAGTATGCTCGTCAAATACAGCTAACTGGTTGAACAGTGAAACAATGATTTCGATTTCGATTTCGGAACAGTTCCAAATACCAGTTCCAATCAAAGACAATGATAAAAGTCGTGGACAATTATTGGTCGATACCATCGGTCCGATACCGTTGTCCGCGATGGGTAAATGGAATTAGAGATTCTCGCATGTACGGGCGTTGTTGCGGTATTATGGGAACGTTGATGAAATTATGTGGGTTAACACAATCCGCGTCGGAGGTTACGAAGAAATTTACAAGCCTTCACGCACGTGCGCGCATAAACGGTGGATATATGATCGCCGGAGTCTCTACGGTGGCCACAATATTCCCCCATGGCAACTCGATAATGTATTATGGATACGTGAAATTCGAAGAGAATCTCGCTCGCCGCATACCCGGAAAATACAAAGTGTTCGGTCGGCGCGTATCCGCGCGGAAGAGATCGTTTCACGCCTGGTCTATGTATGCCCCTCCTTCCCACGCAACCCCCCACATTTCCCCAACGCCCCTCTCTCCGTATCGCCCCTCCCTCCTCTTTCCTGTACACCCCTTTGTAACCTCTCATTCCCCAAGATCCGAGGGAAATTAATCCATTCTTACGACTATCGCGGCGATACGATTCGACTTCGACCGTTGTCGTTCAATTCCGCCGCTGAGAGCTCTCTCGGTCCTGTTTTTACAATACAAATATTATCGGGCGCGGAATCATTTTTATCTGTGAATTCTGTTTTCACCGTTGCCGCTCCGACGCGTCCGTCAATTAAAGCGTCTGTTTGGATTTTATTGCGGCTGCGGGGTCTGTCACTCGGTTACGGCAATCGTGTAATTGCATTAGGACTCTCGATTTCAACCGGTTTTGCTGCTAATCGTAGCCGTATGAGTCCAAAATTCACTTCGTTCGACACTGCAAATTCGCCAAACAAACTGACCAGTACACTGCGAACTTTTACACAGGTTAAGAATTTTCTACCGTAATTTGCAACACGTAGACGTTAAACAGACAAATTTCTTTTCATTCCGAACGGTTTTAAATGGTTGGAGATAATGTAAAAATATCCTTAACACTATATGCCGTCCGCAGATCTTAGATGTGATTGTTTTGTTCGACGCCGGCATAATAGTTTGGAAATTTTAGATTTTAAAAAAAATTTCGAAGACGGCGGTAATATAAATTCCTAAAATTAAGATATGTCATTCAAAAATTTTCGTACTTAATTCTTAGTTAAACAAGTACAATGCTATAGTTAGTTTGCTGCCTTTTAACACCCAAGAAATATAGTCCAAATGTTATTTCAGTTTTTTAAAATGGCACCAAAGTGGTACCACCGGCATACAACAGACAGTTTTTGCATGGCACCAGCGTGGTGCCACCGGACGGCATAGTGTTAAGAACACCTTGGCCTCGTAAATGCTTAAAATCCGCAGTCTATTGATCAGTGCCAATATTTTTCCGCACTAAACAGTCAATTATTTATTTCTGTATTAAACAGGATATAGACCTGTATGTTATTTGAAAGCTTGCAGGAGAACTTAATACGGTATTTTCGTCGATGATCATACTAAAGAAGGTTCTAAAAAGCGTTTCACAGGTTCGCCATGTTCAGCAGCCATAAACTCTTCCAATAAACACGTCGCTAACTGCGCTCGATTCGATTACATGCTCGGTGAACTCGTTAGACGATCAGAGATCGTAAATTCGTTCAAGGTGAGACCACGGTTAAAAAGTGTACTTATTGTTAGATACGGAGTAAATAATAAAACAACTGAAAGAAAAAGTCAAGCTGCACGATAACGAGTGTTGCGGAGAGGAAAGGGGGACATCGAGGGGGGCAGACGAACGGAAGAAGAAGAAAACGAGAGGAAAATATAGGAGAGTAGACGCGCGATAATTCGATTAGCGACATGTTAACCAGGTACCCGGATCGATGTATCGTTTATTAATCGTACGTGCGGTTATGCCAGAAGCGAATCATTGTCATTCCACGATCGACTTCGCAACTTTCGCAGCTTGCGATTCCCATTTGCAAATAGAGCCGGAGGAAAAATGATTTGTAAACTCACCGAGATGCCGGGAAGTCGCAAACTCGATAGATTACATGCAGACCATAATTAAATGTCGAGCAACTCATCACTGATGGACACGCCTAATTTCATTCGCTGTCATAACTTCATTAATAATTTACAGCCCTTTCAGCTTCTACCGCTCTCCTTCCAGCCACCTGGTAACTGTTCAGAAGATTTTTCCGCATCGCTCGGAAGGAAACCACGTTCTCTTACATAGAAGCTTCGCGTAACAAGCCGGTAAAAGTAATTAGCAGAGGTCTTCATAGTGTACAATTTATTTTTAAATACTTTTCGTCAGAATGCTCAATTATTCTTATAGCTATGAGCGACGTAAGGATAAAGTATTAAAACATTCATCGTTTCGTGTTAATAACTGGAATAATTTTAGGATGTATTCGAACGTGGGAATTTTTCAACTTTGAAAGGCTCGAATTGGAGTCGTAAGAACGTACCTTGAGACAGGTTTATTTCGGTTTCAATAAACGTTCGAGATTTTCTTGAAAGATTGATAAATCAGAGACAAAAGATTGGATCTTGCGGTGTTATTTCAGATCGATTTCAGAATGTATCATCGTGGGAACCTTTGGATTTTTGGAGGCTCAACTGAAAGCTGGAAGAGTGCTCTTTAAATGCTCGTTTAAGAACAGTCGATAAAACTCGGCCGATAGCATAACGACTGACCAAAAGATGGTTCTAATTCATGGAATTATCTTGACTTAATTTTCAAATCTATTCCCGTGGAAATTGTCGAACTTTTAATAGCAAAAACAACTATTTTAACAAAGTGTTATAGATCTTTTCTTGGGCGACATGCTGATAGACATTTTGATCAAATGATAATTATATCCGGACAAGGCAGCGTACGATTACAGATTAAGTCCGAAAAATCAAGATAAAATAATGGACCGTCCGCGGGCGACGTCAAGGTTTAACAGGATAGTCCTTTAGCCAAGTAGCCAAGTAACAAGAGACATCTACAAGGTGACAACAAGCCATCAAGGTATTAGAAGACAACGCTACGCCGCGCCGCACCGTGCCGCGGCGTCAGTGTCCATTTACCAAAGACACGGAGAAGCAGGCCGCATTAACGGCCAGCGGGTGTCACGAAAAGGTGACAAAACAATTCGAACACTATGCGCACACTTGGATAAACATAGAGGGAACACGAGACTTCCTGTTGCGGGAGACACGTTCGTACTCACAGAAATATTCTTTCGGACTTCTCGAGAGGCTGCACTCCCTGTAACTGGATCTTGACGCGTTTATGGTTGTCACCAATTTGTAGTACAGGAAAACGTCTTCGCAGACAAACATTTAAAACAAGTTTATACGATTTTTATTGAGAAGCATATCTTAATCCATGAAATCAATTTTTTCTTCACTCTGCTCATTATAATAAGATATAAATTTTCATTTGAAAAATACTGAATCTTTAGCTTGGATACTTCTCGATTACGAGCGCTTACGAAGTCTTAATGCGAGACAAATAAAATTGATGCAACGAAAATGTTGCAACAATCAATTTGCACGAAATGCGATCTTCACCAAGGTGGTTACTAACATACAATATAAATCATTCGTTGAATGAACGTTTGAAATCAGAGATGTTCTCGCATCATTTGCCAGAAACTCGAACTTCGAACAGAAAATGACATAGCGTCGAAAATTTCTACTAATAGCTATTAATAGCTGGTTTCTATTTTATTCAGAGCCCTACTGAACTAAGAAATGTAACCAGATTCCCAGAACGGCATTGTCGTATGACAGTTCTTGTTCAAACAGAAATTGGTATCACGTGCAAGAAATCGAGGCCAGGGCATCGGTGTCCCGATAACATGGTTCGTTGGTGTTCTTACGGAGCAGACGGAGTCAAAAGTCAAAGACGTTAGACATCGATCATAGTTTTCGCGCGATTTACTCCGAACGCTCCGTCATACCACACGTCGTCGTCGTAGACGTCGCCGCTTCTCTCTCTCTCTCTCTCTCTCTCTCTCTCTTTCTTTCTTTCTCTCTCATTCTTTTTTTGCCTTCACTATATTCACTCCGATGTTCGGCGTGGCCCAAAAGCAGTTTTCCTGCTCGCTCGTCGCCTAACAGCATCTGCCGTGCTTTGGGATGTCTTCCGGACGACGACAACTCGTGGTCACCCGTGGGATCGATTAGTCTTCTCTCCCATGGAAGTCGTATGTTGTTTCTCGAGGCAAAAACCGGCGAGAAATCTCGCTGTGCGGCGTCTGCCCGGAATCTTGCCAACCACCGTTTACCCCAACCGTACACTATGATATTTTTTTCGCTTTTGCCAATTAACCGTCGCGACGGCTTCAGGGCTTCAGAATTATTTACCGTATTTTATAATATTATAGCAAAATCTCTCGCGCAATGATTACGCTGACAGCAAAACATTCGAACTAAGTAAAACACATTCTTAAAAATTCTTTTAAATCGAAATCAAATTTTGTTTCCCGCTTATCGATATTCCAGCGTTTCTTGTAGATTAAATGTAATTTGGTGATAAATTACGTGAACAAATAAGAAAGAAATTTGTTGCAACATTTTTTTACCAAGATGAACAAACGTTAAAGTCGGTATTCTCGAAAACGGAGCACCGGATAAAAAAATGTTACACCTAATATTTTTTCTTATTTTTTTCGCGTAGAATCGTCCCCCTGCTCGGTTCTACTACGAATTCCGGTCCACCCTGTATAGATATACGTTAAAGATATAGAAATGTTTTCAACATTGAGCATCGAACCTGCTGTAAATGACTGATGCGTGTTGCTTCATAAAAATGACAAGTTTGATTGTAATGTATGCCGCCATTGGAACGTTCATTTAATCATTTAATTTTATAATAACGAATGCGGGATTGAAATACTAATAACAGAAGTTAGTATTCAAAGTCGAAATGAGAAGTTCGAGGAAGCTTGGACCGTTCGAAATAATTCTATAAAATTTGCTGAAGCTCTTAGGGAAGGGTGTGCCATGAGTAGATCGATATTACGATTTCCATTAGGGTTTTCAAGTTCGATTCGGCGGAAAAAAGCGATTATCGGGGCGCTAGAATATTTTGCAAGTGTTCAAGTTTGAATCTATCGGTGGTAGGGCGCGCGTTCGTGGAACGCGAGCCGCGCCGTTAAGGAAACGCGGAGGCCGTCGAGTTTTCGAAGTTCCAAGGCTAAAGCACCTCTTTAACGTTCTTTTCAGGGAAGGGACGGCTTTACCCGGCCTACAGTCTAAGCGGCAGCGAGGGTGAAGAAAATTCGCCAAGTCTGCGCGGCCGAACCCCCGACTACCCTCAAAATAATCACCAGACCTCGCAATCGCACCTGAACCACTACAACGTCGGTAAGCACAAACAACGCGGCTACCAGCAGCAACAACAGCATCCTCTCTATCATATGCCCAACACTGGCGCTGGATTGAGTGACACACCGACTTCGGGTAACGCGTCCGACGAAACTCTCACCGACAGTGACCTAATCACTGTTGCTCGTGACTCTGCTCTGCTCGTTCATAACGGTAAGTCCAACCGCATTACTATTTATTATGCTAATTCGTCGCGCGTTTCCGCAGCCCCGATTCGTTCGCGTTGATTACCTCGAGCCCGGAATATTTTACTGCGATCCGTTTTGCTGTTGCCGCGAGATGGATCGTTCGCTGCTTCATGGATTCGAATATTTTATGAGTCTACGAACCCGTGAATTACAAGTTTTGTAATTCTGCAATTCCGATGATCTTGTAATTTTATTATCTTGGGAATTTACGGTTATGTAACTTTGTAGTTCTGAAGTTACGCAGTTTTATACGTATTTGGCGATTTCTGTGATTCTACAGTTGTACGTTTAATAGATTTCAGAATTCTATAATTGTATATATCCAAGGCTGGGGCCAATTTTTCATTTCCTCGAAAATAACAGTTTAATCGATTTTCCAAATCTGTAATTCTGAACTTCAATGCAGAATATGAATCTGAGAAAACGTTCTTCGTGTAAAGTCTTCTATACTTCTAAAAATATCAAAAACTCATTTTGATCGGGTTTTCTCCTGCAAAGATTTGTAAAACTATACATACGCGCCGTTAGTCGAACATTTATCCGCTAAGCGATCCACACACTTATCCACAATTTGATATTTATCGAATTGCTCTATATAGATCATTTCGTTTCACGCGTAAACCGCACGCATCGACCAAATAGCACGTATTTTTTTGCGGCTTGCGCGCGATGCAACCTGCACCTGGTGCGCTCTATCGAAGGGCGTTTCCCAGGTGAAGAGTAACGAATCAAAGTGAAAGACAGGATCGATAACAGTCTCGGTTAACGAAGGCACAACTTCTACGGTAATAATCGTACCAAAGCGTGGAGGAACGTTTCGCACAGTGGAATCAGTCATTCGCAATATCATGGAATCGTGTCCCTACATTACTCAAACATGATGGATGGCCCTCGTCGCGATGAGGTGTGAGGCCACACACGGGGGTTTGTCGGAGATGGAGGTTATCGGCACACCGGCTTGTCACGGATGACGTATCGCCTTGCGAAGGTATACACCGTAGCTCGGCCCTGTCCAGCCCAACCTGTGCCAACTTCTAGTCGCAGCGCACCACCTGGAAACGGTCTCCTCGTCGAGAACACAGGAGGACGAGTCCTTACTGTATGAGTCTGCCAGACACTTGCCTCTGATAGGTATTTATCACCCGGCGACGATAGTGGACGAGTCAATCGAGCCACTTAACGTTAAACTTACCCGACAACTTTGCATTTACCGAGGAATAACCCAGCCAAAGATAAAACGGAGCAGTCCGCTGTGAAGAAACCGGGGATAACGAAGATCGATTGCTCAGACTATGTCGCGGAACCTAATCGTTCCGATAATATACACACCAGATATTAAATCGTTGTTTTCTTGAGGCGATGCCCCTTTTCGCCCTGTAGGACGTCGTCGCGTGTAGATCGTCGCGTGAAAATCGAGGGAATTAGGCCAGGCGACTCTCGCATTACTTATTGACTACTAATTGACCCTAATTGGAAACAAAACTGAACAATTTAGGAATAGGAGATACGATTATTCGAGCCCTGCGGATTGTTTTTATAGTTACCGATTGCCAACAACCATAAAAACGAGCCGCGAGGCTCGAACAATCGTATCTTCTCTTCGCAAATTGTCCATTTTTGTTTACAAGCTGAGCGTCAATTAGGGAGAATTTATTGTACTTCCAAAGAATTTCGATTGTCTGTGTTTTATTCTTGTGCGGTTTTCTCAGGTTGTTGCTGAATTTTATTCCAACATTTTTAACACGTTCCGTGTCGAATCAACGTTCGGTTACTTTCCGTGCAGACCACATGGGGCGTATACGCCTCAAGTTACACATTCTTATTAATTGTTTCGCTTCTGATGTATGCCTTGATAATTTGTGTAACAGTGGAAACAACGTAATTATCAAGAAAAGTGTGCATTGTTTAATTCATAAGGAATTGTTGTAACAAATGCATGGTTGAATAGATGAGCTGCTTCCTGCTGCATAATATTTTCAGTTGAAACGATAAGTTCAACCTCGCGGAGCGTGTCAAAAGAATCTCGGTCGCCTTTTATTAGAAACATTATATTTCGCCCCCCCCCCCCTACTTTGGTTGCGTCATAATTGGGGATTTATAATATAAACAGAAATTGGTACGCGTCGTAACGTTAAAACAAATTCTGAAAGGAAAAGCAGGGAGCACTTTGAACCTCAAAGGGCCGAGATAGGAATCCCGGATAAAGCACATTCCTTTTCTTAATAAATATGAAATTTTACCGAATCGGAGCGGACGATCTACTTGCCAGGAAAAGAAACCGGTACACTCAGCAATTCATTTCCAAAGACAGTTACCCCCAAGAGGCGAACTCGACGTTCGCGGGACAATCATAGGACAAAAGTGTGCGCCATCCATCAAACGAAGGAGTGATTCGTCGCGCGATTCGCCCCCGGAAAATGATCGAAGACGTTATTATTAATCGGCGTCGGTCCGGCGCGACCGGGAACATCGCCCCTCGCGAATGACTCGTTGGTTTCCAGTGTGATGCTAATCCAGCGGTAGTAATTGTCGATTTATGCGTGGCTATGACGGGAACGGACCCCGGTACCGCGTCGTGGCACAATGGCCATGAAACAGGATGCGTCGCGGGGTCGCAGGCGGGATTGCTAAATCACGAAAGAGGAAAATCATACGCTCGCCAGTGGGGTTGGCGGTGTGTCATCGTTTGGTCACGCTCGCGAACAGCCAAATCCGCGAATGGAGTCCTTATTTCGTTGGGGAGTGGTTGGAGTCATTCTGATTCAGCTGAAATCTTAATGGAGTATCGAGAGCCTGGAATGCCTATCACGAGCCCCGCTTCCCCATTACGGTCTATAGACGAGGCAGGATCGAAACCACATTTTTTCCGGTCGCAGAAGCCGAGGGAAAGACGTCCGGGAAAAGGGAGGGACAAAGGGGGCAGCGTCACTAGCAACATTGACGTAATTTTAGCCGGGCCGGGCCGAGCCGGCGATCCATTCTCCGCGACACGGGGAACATTTCCATTTAGATGCTCATCTCGCGGAAAAGATTCCACGAGGATATATCACCGTGACGTTATGTCTCCTTTGGTTCGGGGCGACCGCGGAGCTGGGACCCGAGATACTATCTCGGAAATAAACGATCACGGTTAAACGCTTTGCTCGCAATACGAGCCATTAGCGTGCATCCACGCTAATATCCTGCCTCTTCTGATGCTACCGCGGCACGGCGCGGCCAGACATAAACAGAAGTAAGATGTTCCGCCTTAATAGATTTCACCGGAGACCGGTTGCGACTGTTGCCAGTTGCGAGTTGCGAGCTGCGAGTTTGCGAGTGGCACGCGGCCCGCGGGACCGAGACCGAGGATCGCCGTGCCGGGTGCAGTAATTCAGTCCTCGGTCGGATTATTTCTTAAAATGGACCGACGCGACGCTCGCGTTCGGACGTCGAGTCTCGCCGAGGCGCACCGCGCCGCCTTTACGCCAGATCGCATCTGCATCCTCGCCGAACGGTGCCCCGATCGCCAGAAATTATGCGAGCTGCCTCGCGCGAACATCTTCCTGCGAATCAAGGCCCATTTCTTTGCAGGAATGCGCGAACGGGCCGGAGACCCTCGAAAGTATATGGGCAGGTGTCTTCGGCACGCCGGTTATCTCTTAATTGCTAACGGATCGCGGATTTTGCCCATTTATTTAACGAAAAGCTGACAATATTTAGTAAAAAGAAATCGTACGACGGTAAATCTGAATTCTTTCCGAAGCTCGAAGTTCTGACTTTTCTCTGACGACACATTCGGCTTGAAAATAATACGAACTGGAACGTCTGTATCAACTATGGACAATCGTTTTTCTTAACCGAATCTACCGTGAGCTCAAATATTGAAGCTTCACAGCGACTTGTTTTCGTCACTTTATTGTACCTCGAGTCGTAGATGATACCGTCGACTATACATTGTCTCTTACGTAGCAACCGGGCACCCATTTACCATTATTCAAGATAATATCAAGATATTTTTATTTCAAGATACGGGTTTGTACACAAAGAATCTGAAATACTAAGGCTTTACGATTACTTGTACATTTGGATGCCGATATAAGGGCTAGGTTCGATCGAATAAGGAGTTAAAAGCACGAAACATGGGTCAGCTTATAGACATCCGCGTAAATAAATGATTTGGTGACAGCGTGCGAGCATCGTCCCCGTTTGCCATTTCAAGTGCTATCGACAGAATCGTGGAAACGGTACGTTGGTATTGCCAGTGGTATCCGCAGAGTCGTGTTCTCTGTACAATACTAAATAGCGGTCTCGAAAAATTATTGTAACGTCTGTTTACCGCGGTGTCTAATAAATAGAAATTAGCCGTGGGAGGTAGCGTTATCCACGTCAGCTACTCGGGCCTAGCAAAGACCATGTAGATTACGGCTTGTTGCGTTATTGTAAGGTATGTAATTACCACACCCAATATCATTGGCGTGCGTATAATTACTACATACGCTATCATCAATGGGTATCTAATTTCTACGCGCACCTTCACCAACGGGTGTGAAATTACTAGATGCACCGATCCATGCTTGCCATTCAACTAATACGTCGTAACGTGTATCGCGGATTACGCAATTACAAAGTCCAGTTACAGAACTTGAAGTATTCGCATAGCCGTCGACGCGGCGAAACGTTCGATGAATCCCTGTCATCGGCGAATTACCGTTCCGAGCGAGCGGGTATCGATCATTGTTCGAGCACGGGTCGCGAGCTCGAGGTTCGAGGGCCCGAATCAATTTCGTTCGTTAAAATAAAACATCAAATTAATAGTCGACCATACTTCGCATCGTGCAACGATTTGCATCTTCATTAAAGCACCCGCAATCGACGGTTTCGATAAAATTCACACCGTCCTCGAGCGATTCCTCTTATCAAAACTCCTCGATGTTTGTACGTATACGAAGTGTACATGTACGTAGATCGTTCTACTTTCGACGAGAG